CCCCAAAACCCCAAAACCCCAAAACCCCAAAACCCCTTAATTTTTTAAGAAATTGAGTTAAAATTCTTGCCAAGTGTCCACAAATTCTTGACGGTAATCTGGCCGCTCAAGATTCTCAAGATCCATCTAAGGAATTTGTGAATTATCCTATACATAGTGAACACAAAAATACTTAGGACTTGGTGGTCTTATAAAATAAAGCGGCATTTGAAGACTTTCTATATCTAGGTCAGAGGGAAATTACTTAAAGTGCTTCACTGTTGACTTTGAGCTCTGGAATGGTGAAAGACAGTTTGAAGGGCCAATTCCCTTTCTAGATTGTTATTAATTCAGGAATAAAAGACATGCTTACTTTTTAGTAGCTTCGCTTGAAGAAGCAAATCAACTATTTTGAATCTTACTGATATTCCCACTAAAATGCTGTGAGTGTTCGTTTAGATTTGAAGATACATTATGTACATCCTTCACCATGATATGTGAATGTGCATGGAGCTTAGAAGATTTGAACTTTGGGTTCTTCCTTTCCTCCATCTCAATTGAGTTAGAAACCTTTTCACAAGTTTCAGAGGCAGAGTCATTTTCATAACCTTCTAAAGTGAACGATATTCTCTCTCCAGGGATTCTATTACTTTGAGCATGGTTAATTTTCTGAGATTTGCTCTGATGTAGTAACTTCTTATTCACTCCAAAAGCTTTTAACCTCACTGCTTTCTTTAAATCTAGCCTATTCAGCTGATCAAAATCAAGATCAGGGACAAAACTGGGCTTTCTAAACGCCAGCTCCCTCTTCCTCTCCTCCAGAAATACCTCAGAAGTAGGGTCTACAAAAATATTGTGTATCGAGCCTATAGTATCTTGCCCATGTGAGTGACCAAGATATTCATTATCCGTATAACTTCCGTTCTTAACAAAAGGGCCTTCTTCTTCGTACTCAGAATCCATATTCATCGAGTCAAGGATCCCTTCCTTAGGTTCCATGATCTGAATATGCATCTTATTTAATTCCCTCAATTGAGATGTGAAATTCTTTGTGATTTTAATCTTATCCTCCTTCTCTTGCTCCAGAAGCTGCTGTAACTTTTTGTTTTGGGCTTCAAGGTAATATAATTTTGATACACTTAGGGTAGAAATATGGGATTCATAAATCTGAGAAATATATCCGAAGAGCTTGCAGATAGAGTTCTGGACTCTTCTCTGATTCATTTCATTACAGAGATACCTGATTACTTCAAGTCTATTTCTTCTGCTTCTTGCTCTCAGGTTGTTTCTCATCCTTTTCGATATCATTGAGTAGGTTGGTAATAACATCCTCTAGAATATCTCAATCTGTCATGAAGGTATGAACCATTGAGCTATCTAATTTTCCTGAATTCATCTGTGTCTTAAGTTCTTCAGAAAAGCTTTCACTTAACTTGCCCATTGAGTCATTGAATTTCTTCTTATTACTAAGTTTGCCAAAATTTCTGACATCCCAGCTTGGCGAGCCGAGAGCTGACTGAATCTTACTGTTAAGCTGATTATCATGAGAAGAATCTAGCTTAGTTAAGCTTTTAATATCTTCCTTCCGACTACCAATTCTGGGCACAATGATATCTCTCCCATTACTTGAAGAAGTAGGAGAGACGATAATACGATTGTCTATCAGAGACAAAGAGGACCTATTTCTTTTTTTCAACTGAAATTGGGTTGTTCTGTACTTATTTCGAGACCCGCTACAAACTAAGTCTCTAAATTTACCTAGCGTTACTCCCTTTGCGTCTCCTTTTTGCTCCCTCGATCTTCTTAGGGAATTGCTTTGGACCCATAAGTGTCTTTCCTTGTACCGCCCCATTAAGAGATTCAAGTGAGAACATTGACATGTTATTTATTAATCTCCGATATGCTTTATTACTATTATTAGAGGAAATTTTTAGTTTATGGGGCTGTTTTCGGATTCTTTTCTTACTAATCATACTAAACTCAACACAGAAACATACTTAAAGCCCCCTATTGTCTTAGGGCTCATGTAGAAGCTCTGTTTATTACTTCCAGCCACACTCTTACGGCCTTTTCTCAGCTTGAGCTTGTTATTAGCAATAAAGGAAGTTTGGGATCGTAATTTAGTATAATTTCCGTATGAAGTTTTGACACCTCTCTTCACTTTCTTCCCATTCTTACCCACATTAGGGGTTATATTAGTCGGTTTATACTTGACTAGACTGACATCGTACATCTGTTGTAGCTCGTCAGGAGTATAAACCCTGCTATCGCTCCCTATAGAGACCCCTTGGCTGCTATTTCTTATTCGCAATCTGTTCACTAGTATTTTGTTCTAAAAATAATAACCATCAATGAATCACATAGAGATATGCTACATATCGACAGGAAATTAGAGCTAATCTCTAATGTTCAGGACAAAGGAGCTCCTTAGCACTTAAGAACACCTGTGGACCAACTGGCGAGCGATTTCAAACAGAGAATTAGAACTGTAGAAATTAGAAGTAGGATTTAAGTAATATTTGCCAATAGAGAAAATTAAGTAAAGAGAACGGGCTCAGTGATGAGTAAAAGCATACTTTTTAAAGGAGATAACTCATTTTTGAGTGCTGAATCCGCTAGAAACGAGTTTAAGAAGCTCTTTATGCTCCTATTCTGCTTCTTTTTAACTGAATTTGATAGATTCCTGCCTTTTCTGACTATAGTTGTTGTCTTAGAGTTAAAGTTTCGCTTCCTTGATTTTGATTTCTTTGTATTGGGTTTGACAAGATTAAGGTATTTAGGTGGGATATTAACTCTAGAGATTAAATTAAAAATTTTTGATTTTATTTCAAAATCTTAACTCAAGTTATAGTTTGAATAAAGATGAAGGATTGCTAAATTTGCTGAAAGTTAAAATAATGTATTAAAAATTCACTTAAACTCCTATAAATCCGAAACTTCAGCACCAAGCCCTTCTCCAAAGCACTAATGCATATTAAAAATGCAGGAGCTTAAGTATACCCCGTGACCTTTGCCTCTCCTGAGAATATGCTTGCTTCTTTGTCATTAAAGGTTGTTCCAAATCCCTTTTGCTTGTCCATGACTATACTCTCAATGGGTCATTTACCTTCAAATGTTTAAATTATTTTAATTTTAAATAAACTTTGAACACCAATATTACCATTATTCATGGGGTTTTGGGGTTTTGGGGTTTTGGGG